GAATTGGCTAGGTGACACGAGAACCGAAATATTTCAGAACATGTTTTTCATTGGAGTAAAAACAAAACTGCACAGAGATTTTTTGCAACATCAAATTCCAAAGAGATATCTGTTTTCTCACAGAAATAACAGAAGGAAGGACAATCAGAGTGACATAGAGGAAGAGGTAATCTGGAAGAGAGGGTTTGTCAGGGCACAGGGCCCTATAGTCTCCTTACTGTTGGCAAATCCTCTGCTAACTGTGCTAAGTAGGCACCCTTCTCCAGGAGTTCTATTGGTCAGAGTTATTTCATGTGTACATATATACACATATAGAGCAAATTTAGAAAATTAAATTATAAACTCTAATAATTAAATTTCACTTGTCAAACGTTTTAACTGTGCTGTATTTATAGCCATAATATTTGGTTTATTATCAGTCAGAGAAAGAGCAACCTTGCTGTTTCAGATTTTAGAAACTTCTCGCTTAGAAATCTTCATTTAATACGCTTTCTGCAGCACTGTAAAGTCCCAGATCAAATCCCAAGAGTCTCCTACTCATTTCAGTGGGCTTTAGATCAGGTCCCAAAATACTTCTTGTACAAAGCCTTAGATAAAAGAATAACGGCCTAATGCACAGCTTGAGAGCTGCCCGGGAGAAATGCTGGCTGTCTGTTACAATTTTAGCAAATGGGGAAAAGTAGAGGTGACTGGTTGTAAGCTACCTTTTCAGTTCTTTGGTCCGTGTGCTATTAAATGCAGCTAGGATCTCTAGGATTAATTCACATATACCATGTCAGCTGATGTTAACCTACTTTAATGCACATTGACCGAATTGACTTGCAATGGATTTATAACCAAGAAAAAGGAAAATATGTCAAATTATTCCTCATACTTTGGCATGACCTTTTTCAAGACCTGGACAGAAGCTTTTAAAAACAAAGATATATATGTAAACAATATAACTTGGTATGTGCACTTGCTATTTTGAGACTTTTCTGAGTAGCTATCACAAATGAAATTACTATATACTGTGCTGCCTAATGTTATTATCCTGTGTTTTTAAGTCTCATTTCAGAAAAAAAAACTCAGCTTATAGTAAGCTATGCAAAAATAAATCTTAAATATCTTAAGTATCTATCTTGCCTTTGGAGAAGTTAAGTTTCTTAGCAAACAGGTATAAAAGTAGACACTGGCATGAAGTACGTTAAGGACATTTTAAACGGAAACGAAACTGAAAATGGTATGAGCAGGGTCTGGGTGGAC